AGCTTGTATCTCGATTTATAAAGGGAAGGAGAGGGAGAAGCTACTCGAAGCATGGACACATGTTATCCCCGTACATTTAACCTGCAGCAGCTGACTACGCTTCATGAGCTTCCCTGAGATAAGCGTGATAGCACTCCCCAAATCAACCAGTGCCGTGGTCCCTACCACATTTAGTTTCACTGGTCTGGTATACATATGTGGGGTTAGTGAGACCCCCACAAGGTGGATCAGGGAGCATGGATCTGCCCAGTTCCCCAGGTTACACTGCATAGGCTCCTCAGCATTGGGACACTGTGAAGCTACGTGTCCCCACTCCCTGCAGGCATAACATCTGTATGGAGCCCTAGGCGTTCCCCGGTCTCTTGGTTTGGGCAGTCTAACATCACAATCCTCTTCTCCCTCAGTGCTCCGACTCTTTGTGGCCTCTGATGGGCCTTCAGCCTCTCTTTTTTTCCACCTGGACCCTCCTGGTGGCCCAGTCACCTGAACTTTAGGGCTTGGTGCTGCTAATTTAACCCGGGGTGCCTCTTCCTTAACTGGTCGGGTCAGCTCCCTCGCTGTCCTTCGCCTCTCTACCAGGGCGACAACCTCGTCATAGGTGGAGGGTTCGTTCTGGCTTACCCAGGCACGAAGGTCTGGTGGTAGTCCCCTCATGTATCGGTCGATGACCAGAACCACTAGTATCTCTTCCGGACTCCGGGACTCTGTTTGCAACCACTTTCGTGCGAGATGGATGAGGTCATACAATTGGGACCACGGGGTTTTGTCTTCCTGGTACCTCCAATCGTGATACTGCTGGGCCCGCAGTGCTGTCGTTACCCCAGATCTGGCTAGGATCTCTGCTTTCAGATGGGGGTAGTCTGCCGCAGCCTCTTCAGGCAGATCATGGTAGGCCTTCTGGGCCTCCCCACACAGGAATGGGGCAAGGATCCCAGACCACTGATCTCGAGGCCAGGCCTCCCATAGGGCTGTCCTCTCAAAGGCCAGAAGGTATGCCTCTACACCATCCTCCCGTGTCATTTTCTGCAGCCAATGGCTGGCCCATATGAGCCGTGTCCCATCATGGCCGCGATTCAGCTCTGTAAGGGACTTTACCTGGTTTACCAGTTCCTGCAACATAGCTCAGTCTTGACCAGCCTGGTCCATAAGCAGGCGATTAGCCTCTTGCTGCAGCCACACTGCCTCCTGTTGGGCGGCTGCCTGGACACGGGTAGCCTCCTGCTGGGCTGCCATAGCTTGTATCAGTGCCCGCACTAAGTCATCCATTGTGGTGAAAAAGAAAAAAACAAACCCTCTCCCTTTTTTTGTGTTTTTGTTGTTGTTGTTGTTTTTTAAATCACCCTCCTTCTTCCGTCATGCTGTGCACCCCAAGATCCCACTCCTTACACCAGTGTGACAAAGTTCCTCCTCTATCTTGGTGGGTCCTGCGCTTATTGGCGGATTTTCTTGCCTCAGAGATTCACCATGTGGGTTGGGGAACAGCCCAGAGACCTTCCCCTCTGGAAGAACCCACAGCCCAGGAACTCGGGCCCACCCTCTATTCCGGGTTCCAGCCCAGGGCCCTGTGGACTGCAGCTGTCTATAGTGCCTCCTGTAACAGCTACAACTCCCTGGACTACTTCCCCATGGCCTCCTCCAAACACCTTCCTTATTCTCACCACAGGACCTTCCTCCTGGTGTCTGATAACGCTTGTGCTCCTCAGTCCTCCAGCAGCACACCCACACCCTCTCACTCCTTGCGCCTCTTGCTCCCAGCTCCTCACACTCGCACCACAAACTGAAGTGAGCTCCTTTTAAAACCCAGGTGCCTTGATTAGCCTGCCTTAATTGATTCTAGCAGCTTCTTCTTAATTGGCTCCAGGTGTCCTAATTAGCCTGCCTGCCTTAACTGGTTCTAGCAGGTTCCTGGATTACTCTAGTGCAGCCCCTGCTCTGGTCACTCAGGGAACAGAAAACTACTCATCCAGTGACCAGTATATTTGCCCTCTACCAGACTCCTGTACCCCACTGGTCTGGGTCTGTCACAACACACACACACACACACACATACACACACACTCTCTCTCTCTCTCTCTCTCTCTGCTATTAAGGCATCAAATACATTGCACTTGTATAGGATAGCACTTTTCATCCATACATCTCAAAGCACCAAAGGTGGGCATGTATCTTATCCCTTTGTCTCAAAATATCTGTTCCCCATTCATTTTAACAGGGGATGTGAGTCTAAATCCCCTAGTCTACTCTGACATAAGGGATCCATATTTTATGTCCGACTATGCACAACCCACCATACAGTTAAGTTTCCTACGTTGTAGCAGTAAAGGGCTCTAGAAAACCCCTACTGACTACCCCCGAACTGGCCAGTCCCAAACCACACTTTCCCCAGTGGGAGATGTCTGCCCACCTAGCCTGTCCTGGCTCCTGTTCAACTGAGTGCAGCAGATGCCAATGCTTCTCACATGTAGAGGACAGTCTCTTCAGCACTGGCTACTGCAGTAGCTTCTTGGAAAGTAAAAGTGCAAAGGGTTCTGAGCAGTGCTTGAACCACCACCTGAGCAACCACCCACCAGCAGCACAAAAGGATAGCTAGGGGATACAATCGGTTTCCAGGTAAAGCATGCAGAAGAGAATGCCAAATCCTGTCCTTATGCTCCTGAGGCCAGCCTTGAGCAAACCAACATGTGCAACATCCCATTTATTCTAAAATGTACATTAATAAAAAGAGAGATAGACACTAACAGCCTGATCCAAAGACCATGGAAACTTTAGGGAATCTTGCCAATGGGCTTCAGTGACTTTTGGGCCAGGCACTATCCTGTGTTAATATTAAAAACTTTAAGAGCAGATTAAAGAAATGTATTGCTCCCAAGCAAAACAAAACCATAGTTAAAGTCATCTTTCAAGGGACATCATCAAGATGAGATATGAGTCAGCATTGTATGAATGTTAAGTAACCACTGCACACATACAGCTAGGTATAGCTGACTATGCACATGAAACAAAGCAGAGCCCAGTTTTGTAGCATTAGTCAAAGGCTAGTGAAAAAGCCAGAAGAGCACCACAAAGCCAAAAAAGGCCTCAAACCATCACAGCAACACTCAGAAGGCAGCAAACTATTAGGAGGCAGCATGACACTCAGTGGCTAGGAAAAGCTCCAGGGAGAAAATAAATGAAAAAGGCAGCATTTGTGCAGCAAAAGGTATCTTGTCCTTTACTATTACCTTCAGATTTAGGACTAGGAGTAGACGCAGGAAACTGGTATGTAGGACAGTAAGGATTGTCTTCTGCAGCAGAGAAAAGCAGTATGTATTGAGACTATCCACAGTGAAGTGGAGGCACCATATAGTTTCCCCAACTTTCTATCACGGTAAACTTTTATTGCCTATTTTGATAATAGTAGACTGAAATGGTATCATACTTTCAAACAGATAAATGGGTTAGGAAGGATTTAGTCATTTTATACATCAGAGACTAAGGCACACTAGGTGTACTCGAATTTCCACCATGAGTAATAAATGGTAATGGAAATCTAGTACCTGAATCTAGTTACTATAATGGAGCTACAGCACAGTTAACTCAAACACAAGACAACAGATACTCTGGCTGAACTTATGGTACCTTCAGGTGTTTGCTGGATTTCAGGAAGTTCAGGGAATTTGTAGGTAGGGCAATAAGGGTTTTCTTCAGGAGTTTCTAAGTGGAAGGAGCAAGTTTTGGAAAAAGAACAGAAAGGAAAGATTTAAAGAAGAAGACCAGGTGAGGCAAGAAACCACAGAAGTTGTGGAACGATCCTTCTCATGCTGAGTCTATAATGTAACAAAGCCATGGCAGGTCAGTGGTTATCACTGCACTGCACATCTGGGCTGCTTGGAAGACAGCAGGGATTGAACTAATCCTCTGCTCCTGAAGCATGTGCCTCTATCATTTGAGGTGAAGGAGAATCTGTGTCAGCAGCACAGGGGCTACAACTCACAGCTTGAGCAGTTCTTATTCCATCCAGTACAATGCAGTGGTTACATAAACTCACTAGTCAGCTCATCAAAATAGCATCTGCAGCAGCAAATGCAAACCAACTTGAACTAGTAAAGCACAGCTCAGAATTGTGTTATCATGTACATCAGGCCTTATGTGTGGTTGGATTGCTAATACGACCTCAGTCATTTCTCACACTAATGAGAGACTTGGAACATACAATGTACCAAAAAGTAATGGATTCATGGAGGATATGTTGTAACCAATATATAAGTGCTCGCCATAATTTTGCCTTTTAAAGATATCAACAGTATTTAAACAGCAGAAGTTTGATCCAGATCCCACTGAATTTAATGGGAGTCTTTCCATTCACGTAATGGGCTTTGGATCAGGCCCTAAGTTATTAAGCAATGTAACATTACCAATTATTTTCTATTGCAGACTGTCCATATTTTCACAGGGTAGCCTCTCCTTGTTTAAAAGCCAATTCGGTGTCATTGTACTGCTAAGACTGAAGTTTAGGGACCTGTTTCCCAGCACCAGTTGATGGCATTGCTAAATAAGGACAGGAAGGCATTTGTGATGTTTTCTAACTGTAGAAAGGGGAACAGAGCAATGTCCTGGCTCTGACAGGAACATTTTAAAACATGCATTTCTCTTTCCAAATAGGTTTATTTGGAAATTCTGGACTAATCAGCTCTGGGACGTTTCCTTGAGAAGGGGGAAAAGAGTGGACAAATGTGCTCCTGGGGGCCAAAATCTGAGCAGCGTCAAATGAACAGGTGGTAAAAGACCCCTTATCCCTTCTCACGCAAGCACTCCCCACCATTGTGTTACACTGGCAGATTTCCTGAAATATACTAGTGTAGATGCAGCCTTTGTCTACCCACCACCCAGGTAATGATTTGGGATCACAAAACAATTCTCTTCTTTATTATTGTTTTTATAAAAGGTATTTCAGTTCACCTTTAAGAGCAATTCACACCTCCCCTTGGACTTGACTGGGTTTTCTCCTTTGATAGTATTGTCTTTAAACTTGTTAGCTGATTTCTGTGTTCCAGAGCAAACATGGATTACTAATGCAAAATGCTTTATTTAATATCCAGTGCAATATTCCATCTATGTGAAGTAAACTGTTATCCAGTTAGTCTCTTTAAAAAAAAAAATCCATGTTACAGTACCTTTAGTTAACCTGTGGATCTGTTTGAACATTGTCTTGTACCAGTCCTTTGATCTGTCCGTGTTCTGGTTTAAAAATAAATAGATGTAAGTAAAAAACATTGGCCTGACTTCCACCAGATTTTCAATTTTTTAGGGTTACTTTAACAATCAAAGCTATGTGCACCCTTTATCATATTTTATTTATTATTACTGAATAGCTATAAGCAAGATTGAACTAAATAATTCAGACAGCTTGTGGAATTGGGTGTGTTTCAAATGCCAGGACTAAGTCCCTACTACCAGTATAAACATTTTCAGGATTTTTTTTTAATTCAGTGAAAATCATTTTGGGAAAATTTAGGGCTAGATCCTACAAAGGGATTTAGCCCTTTCATATCCCACTGCTGTGTTCTGAACCCAAATTCAGCATCACAGCACTATTCCATTAGACATGGGGTAGGCAACCTATGGCACGTGAGCCAAAGGTGGCACACGAGCTGATTTTCAGTGGCACTCACACTGCCCGGGTCCTGGCCACTGGTCTGGGGGGCTCTGCATTTTAATTTAATTTTAAATGAAGCTTCTTAAACATTTTTAAAACCTTATTTACTTTACATACAACAATAGTTTAGTTTTCAGAGTAGCAACCGTGTTAGTCTGTATCCGCAAAAAGAACAGGAGTACTTGTGGCACCTTAGAGACTAACAAATTTATTTGAGCATAAGCTTTCGTGGGCTACAGCCCACTTCATCAGATGCATAGAATGGAACACACAGAAAGAAAATATTTATACATACAGAGAACATGAAAAGGTGGAAGTAGCCATACCACCTGTAAGAGACCAATCAATTGAGATGAGCTATCATCAACAGGAGAGAGAAAAAAACCCTTTGAAGCGATAATCAAGATGACCCATAGAAGGTGTGAGGATATTGTAACATGGGGAAATAGATTCAACTAGTGTAATGACCCAACCATTAAATAAATAAATGGAGATATCCTATCTCCTAGAACTGGAAGGGACCTTGAAAGGTCATTGAGTTCAGCCCCCACCTTCACTAGCAGGACCAAGTACTGATTTTGCCCCAGATCCCTAAGTGGCCCCCTCAAGGATTAAACTTACAACCCTGGGTTTAGCAGGCCAATGCTCAAACCACTGAGCTATCCCTCCCTTTCCAGTCTCTGTTCAAACCTAAGTTAATTGTATCTAATTTGCATATTAATTCAAGTTCAGCAGTCTCTCTTTGGAGTTTGTTTTTGACGTTTTTGAAGTTTTGATCTTCCAGAAAACACCATCCTGGCCACTATGGATGTAGAAGCGCTCTACACCAACATTCCACACAAAAATGGACTACAAGCCATCAGGAATAGTATCCCCAATAATATCACAGCTAACCTGGTGGCTGAACTTTGTGACTTTGTCCTCACCCACAACTATTTCACATTTGGGGACAATATATACCTTCAAGTCAGCGGCACTGCTATGGGTACCCGCATGGCCCCACAGTATGCCAACATTTTTATGGCTGACTTAGAACAACGCTTCCTTAGCTCTCGTCCCCTAACGCTCCTACTCTACTAGCGCTACATTGATGACATCTTCATCATCTGGACCCATGGAAAAGAAGCCCTCGAGGAATTCCACCATGATTTTAACAATTTCCATCCTACCATCAACCTCAGCCTAGACCAATCCACACAAGCGGTCCAGTTCCTAGACACTCCTGTGCTAATAAGTGATGGTCACATAAACACCACCCTATACCAGAAACCTACTGACCTACATGCCTCCAGGACACACCACACGATCCATTGTCTACAGCCAAGCTCTAAGATACAACCGCATTTGCTCCAATCCCTCGGATAGAGACAAACACCTACAAGATCTCTATCAAGAATTCTTAAAACTACAATACCCACCTGCTGAAGTGAAAAAACAGATTGACAGAGCCAGAAGAGTACCCAGAAGTCACCTACTACAGGACAGGCCCAACAAAGAAAATAACAGAACGCCACTAGCTGTCACCTTCAGCCCCCAACTAAAATCTCTCCAGCGCATCATCAAAGATCTACAACCTATCCTGAAAGATAATCCCTCACTCTCACAGATCTTGGGAGACAGACCAGTCCTCGCTTACAGACAACCCCCCAACCTGAAGCAAATACTCACCAGCAACTGCACACCATACAACATAAACACTAACCAAGGAACCTATCTTTGCAACAAAACTCGATGCCAACTCTGTCCACATATCTATTCAAGTGACACCATCATAGGACCTAATCACATCAGCCAAGCCATCAGGGACTCATTCACCTCCACATCTACCAATGTGATATATGCCATCATGTGCCAGCAATGCCCCTCTGCCATATTGGCCAAACCGGACAGTCTCTACGCAAAAGAATAAATGGACACAAATCTGACATCAGGAATCATAACATTCAAAAACCAATGGGAGAATACTTCAACCTCTCTAATCACTCAGTGACAGACTTGAAGGTGGCAATTTTGCAACAAAAAAACTTCAAAAAACAGACTCCAAAGAGACTGCTGAACTTGAATTAGATACAATTAACTTAGGTTTGAACAGAGACTGGGAATGGTTGGGTCATTACACTAATTGAATCTATTTCCCCATGTTAAAATATCCTCACACCTTCTATGGGTCATCTCGATTATCACTTCAAAGGTTTGTTTTTTTCCCCCTCTCTCCTGCTGATGATAGCTCATCTCAATTGATTGGCCTCTTACAGTTGGTATGGCTACTTCCACCTTTTCATGTTCTCTGTATGTATAAATATTTTCTTTCTGTGTGTTCCATTCTATGCATCCGATGAAGTGGGCTGTAGCCCACGAAAGCTTATGCTCAAATAAATTTGTTAATCTCTAAGGTGCCACAAGTACTCCAGTTCTTTTTAATAGTTTAGTTATATGTTATAGACTTATAGAAAGAGACCTTCTAAGAATGTTAAAATGTATTACTGGCACATGAAACCTCAAATTAGAGTGAATAAGTGAAGACTTGGCACACCACTTCTGAAAGATTGCTGACCCCTGCATTAGAAAAGAGGAAGTGAAACTGATCAGCCTAACTTAGATGTCAACATGAAGCAAAATAAGAGAGGAAACTAAATCCACACAACTAGCAAAAAGTGCAATGAGATTTTGAAAATTCTTTCACCCATAGTAATTGAAGGGGTCATCAGAACACAAGGAAGATGTTTGAAATAAATTTATTGGGCGTGATATTTTATCTTCAGTTACACCCATGCAATTCCACTGGCTTTAATTATATGGGTCTAAATGAAGGCAGAGTCTGGCTCTTGATTTTTATTTTCAGCATGTGCCTGTAAGCGTGAGTGTTGTTCTCTTACCCTCAGTGGAATGCCTACATCATCCACGGAGACATCAGCCACATACTGGGGACTCCTGACAGCTCTTCTCTTCTCATCCACTGCTGGCTTCTCTCTTTGAGCACTATCCTGAGCTGGCTTTTCCTGTGCAGACACAGCACCTACTTTATCAGCAACTGGTCTGTCTGGCAGGGAATCTGGAAATGAAGGAGGGGTGATCATTATCCTAATGTTCACCATTTCAGCACACCAACATATATCACTCTAAGGCAAAAATCCTGGCAAAGCATCGATGAGGCAGACTGTGGCACTGGGGAGAAGTGTCTGGCTTTCTGTAAATGTGCATAGAAAATGTTTGGCACAACCAAGAGAGGGCAGGAACTCCTCCAATCATACGTGTAAAAAGCAGCAACACTGCTCCCTTCATGTCTGATACAATTAGCCCCACTACAAGCTCAGTCTTCACTGACACTCTGCAGTGGTACAGTGCCTTTGGAGCCCTTTCCTCCTGGTTATTGCTCTCCACTGTATCCGAATGCCAGTTCCCAACATTTTAGGCAACCGTACCTGTTTACCAGACTAGGACCTCAGCCCTTCCACACAACATCTGACACTTCCCATTCAACTGTGCAACCTCCAGCCTGATTGGGGTTTGGAGCAGAGCAAACTCCATTGTGGTTAGCGTATCACACAAAAGAGCCTGCACAGAGAACCATCATTAAAGGCAGGGACAAGACCAAATTCTGTCTCCATTGGCTTCAGTGGACCCAGGAAGAATCAGCCTCAAAAGCCTGAAGCACAAGTACCACCCTAGGGGGTGGGGAACACTTCTGTTATAACAATGCCCAGGACCATTTGAACTCAGGTCCCATGCTCGCCTAGTTCATTTTACTTGAAAATGGCATTCTTAGACAGCATTCTTCTCTGCAGCATCAGCACTAGAGAAAAGGAAAGCAAAATACACAATACAGCTGTGGGAAACACGACTTTAGAAAAAGATGGAGGTGCCTGGGATCATTTAGATTCATAATCAGGACCCAACACACAGGAACCTGATAAGAAAATCAAGCAGCTATTTAAACCCAGCAAGAAAAAATTAAGGCTGAGAGGTTTTCAAAGGGATTTGGGTGTCTACTTCCCATTAAAAAAATGGGAATGGGCGTCCAAATCCCTTAGGCAGCTTTGACATTCTCAGCCTAAGTTCTTAACGGTGTGTTTGCATGGGGGGCTGGCGTGAAAAAAGGGGGCATTCCCACTGATGCATCATTCCTAGGGACAGAGCATCAATCTGGTGGGAGAAGAGAATGTTTATCCATAGTTTGATTCCAAGTATCAAATGGTTATTTGCCTTGCTGCTAGTCAGTGCATGATGGGGGGAGGGATAGCTCAGTGGTTTCAGCATTGGCCTGCTAAAGTCAGGGTTGTGAGTTCAATCCTTGAGGGAGGGGCCACTTAGGGATCTTGGGCAAAATCAGTACTTGGTCCTGCTAGTGAAGGCAGGGGGCTGGACTCAATGACCTTCCAGGGTCCCTTCCAGTTCTATGAGATAGGTATATCTCCATATACCCTGTCCCCAATCCATTGAGGCTCTAAGTCTGTTTGAGCCCTCAACTATAGGGCCTTGCTCTTTGACTCAAGCTGGTGGCCAGTATACATGCATTAGATAGATTTTTTTAAATGTATCTAGTCAGAATTTATTTTGAATTGGGATAGATAAAAATGTCTTCTGAATTTCTAATGAGTATGTGATGAAAGAATGCAGGGATTCTCCTATGAGTACACAGCAGTCACAGCAGGGCTGCTGCTAAGCATTCTGGATACCTCTTGCCAAACATACCTACTATACTACTGAATGGTCCAAGTACCCTGGACTATCTGTTCCCAAAAGACCAGCAGCAAAAGGATTAATTGGCATGAGCAATGCAGGCTGGGCGAAGAATGCTTTCCTCCCATGGAACAGATGCAGCAGACCAGACTGTTCAGCCTTCACTTCCACAGCTGTTCACCACTTCTCTGCGTGCGCTGCCCCCACCTCCCACTCAGGTGACCAGAGACCTCAAACTCACTGTGTCTTTCATGGGGAATTCAGTAGAAATCAATTATGCAGAGAAGTGCCATATCTGGGTTTTTTTTTAGTTAAATAAATAGAGTGTTTAGTGTCTGGGTAGCTAGCAGTTCCGAATGCTATCTCACCTGTAACTGCTCTGCTGTCAAATAATGCTTGGCCTGGAGTCCAGTTCAGCTCTTAGAGCAGCTTCTCCCATCTGGTTTTCAATTACTTGAAAATTTGCACCAAAGTGTTGAAATGGGATTTGGGGCAGTAAATGCTCACCGGAAATTAAAATCCTATTCTCTAAACCCACCTTCCATCTTCCTCCTCCACCACCTGCGTTTACAGCATAGCGCACTTCCAAAGGACCATGACAACATTAACTACATCTTCCCAGCACACTGTGATGAGGGATATCAGCCCACTCTACCGATGGGGAAAACTGGAGCAGGATGGCCTCTACTTTTGGGTGCTTCAGTTTCTGGGTTCCCTCTGAGACACCCCAGGCATGATTTCAGAGGTGCTGAGCACCCACAACTCCCAACAGAACTGCTGGGCGTCTCAATCAGGCCACCTAGAAAATGGAGGCTCTTGTAATTAGGGGCTGCTTTAGAAAACATAGGTTTCAGCAATTTACCCAAGGCTATGCACAAGGCCTGGATTAGAACAGAGGGTACGTCTATACTTACTTCCGGGTCCGGCGGTAAGCAATCGATCTTCTGGGATCGATTTATGGCGTCTTGTCTAGATGCGATAAATCAATCCTGGATCGATCCCGGAAGTGCTCGCCATTGACACCGGCACTCCTGCTCCGCGAGAGGAGTACGCAGAGTCGACAGGGGAGCCTGCCTGCCGCATGTGGACCCGCGGTAAGTTCAAACTAAGATAGTTTGACTTCGGCTACATGAATAACGTAGCTGAAGTTGCGTATCTTAGTTCGAAGTGGGGGGTTAGTATGGACCAGCCCAGAGGCAATCCTAGCTCTCAGCCACACACTCAATCCTTCAGGGTATGTCTACATTGTAATTAAACTGTGTGTGTGTGTGCGCGTGTGCGCGCGTCCGTCCGTCCCAGAGCCCAGGCTCCAGCGCAAGCCAGGACATCTACACTGCAGTTGTATAGCCCTGCAGCCTGAGCCCTGCAAACCCAAGTCAGCTGACATGGGATAGCCGTGGGGTTTAATTGCAGTGCAGATACACCTTGAGACCACATTACTGCCATGTACAATACCTAGCTCCTTTCCTACTGACACACGTATGTGTTAGCACCTGCCACCAGGCACCACATCAATTTGGCAAGGAACCAATGGACTGTTGGATGCTCTGGTACTACAATGTGCCATGTGGCACTGCAGAATGGCATGCCTTAAGCCCCACTAGAGGCAGGATTTCTCCAAATGGATGGCAGTGGTGAGAAATGTGTGTGATTTCACAGTCTGCTCTGTCAACGCTTTGCCAAGTCCTATCCTTGGTGTTACAGAACTGCATGCATTTGAAAGAGGAAGAACAGTTGTTCACATGCACTTTACCATATTGCCCAAAGCTGTTCAATTTGCAGAGCTCTGATGAGGGTGGTTAGCAGAGGAAAGACTCATGCATTGTTCGGACAGTACCCACAGCAAACACAATTCTGCACTGCAAAATTCCCTCTACTAGGATTGTTTGTTTGCTTTTTAAATCATCATCAAACTTACTTTTTGGGGGTTCTTTTGCTCTTGAAAAAAGTTTTATAAATGGCAAGAATGTGGCAAGGCTAAAATAAAACTACTATTCAACACTTCTACCTTATTTTCTATCCCCAAGAACACACATACTCTCTGTTTTGGTCCTATTGTGCTCCTAATGTAGAGGTCCCCTTCTTCTATATTCACCTTTACATTTCTGTATTGAGTGTTTTACCCCATGGTGCAGCTACCTACTGTGCTGCTAGGAACAGAGTACAGAAAACTCTGGTGAAATTAGAGGACTTCCATGACTCTGAAGACCAGAGGGAAGGAAGGTTTATGGATGTGAAATGATCTGAACTCAGGAAGAAATCTCAGCTTCCCAGCTCCCCACCCCAATCTCAATCCCTTGCGTCTTTTAGGTGAGCATGTAAAACAACCATGATTGTCACTTTCAGCGCTACTGCTGGAGATGAAAGACATGCTTCTGTGGTAGAAAGGAAATACTCCTTCCTACTGTGTCATCAGTCTGTGGAAGTCACTGCCAGGGAAGGCCAGTGGGCCAGAGATTTGGATTGAACTTGTTGTTTTTGCTTTTTAAAGGATTGGTTAATCATGTGACCATTATTATTTTGTAATTGTGAAAGTTAAGGCTACGTTACCATAATCAAATTGCACACTTCAAGATGTAAGCCAATCACTTCCTGGGCTCAGGAGGGACTCGCTCTCCAGTTCCCTATAAGTAGCACAGGAAACCACAACACAGGTTGTGTGTTTATTTGCCAGATGGAGCATGCCATCTGAGTGGTCCTAGGCTAAGGTGCTGCTACCCTGGAAATATCTTAGACAGATAAAGGCAGACATACTGGACTAAGTGGACCAACAGTCTGAGCTCTGATTGCTATTCCTACAAGCCTCACAAATTATTATTGGTGACGGTTTGGAGAGAGCTAAGGAATGATTTTGTGCTGGCCTGCAGGAAAACTCTCCTACCCAAAGCTTGAGATTTATGTGGTGCAAGGCAAGGGCTGGAGTTCAACATGATGGCACAGGCCCCAGGAGAGCTGTGGGAGACATTCCAGCCAGCTAAACCAACTTTAAAGATGTCTTTTGAATTCTTTGTCTTGGGGTGCATTTAGCACTGGTGAAAGCTGCAGGCTTTGGAACTTGGGGTAGCACGAGTGGCAGTAGCAGGACCAGGTCCTCACTCCGTGCCATCAGAGGTGCCTTGTCAGGAGGGTTGTTGCTCAAGGGGAGAGGGCAATTCAGTCTTCATGCCTGTTCAGCCTTTGGCCACTTAGCTGAGCTTGTCACCAAAGAGACCTAACGAGTGCCAATTTCAATGGTGTCTCTGGCAACATAGGCACCTGTCCTCTAGGAAGTGGACTGAAGCCATCATCGCCCTTCACCATGGGCCCCCTTCTGAATGTTTCTGGACTCAAAGCAATGACCTACGAAAAAAGTTCTTGGGCCACATCCCACCCTAACTTATACATCATACAGCTCAGTGACATTGCAGGGGGTGTAAGTCAGCGCAGAATTTTGCTCTGGGGCCTGTAGAGAGCACCAATTGCATAGTATCAGGTACAACACTCGGTATCTTCTGAGCCATCCATTCTGGGGAGCAGTGACAGGTGGGCATTCAGCATCAGAGTTTTGTTGGTGTGACTCAGAGGATGCAAGCCAGAGTCAGGGAGGTCAGCCAGCCACCGTTATGTGATTGTTTTGATAGACGGAGACCAGTTGTGGAGCCAGCAATGCCAGGGCACTCTCCAGTCCATATTGGGGACTGTTTAGGCTGGAACAAAAGCTGCCTAGAAATACTCCACACTGAGCCAGGTGGGAGGATTTCAACATATTTCCAGCTTAACAGACAAAAGAGTTCCTGATCACAACGGGAAACACTTTGGGAAAGAGAAAACCAAGAGGAAACATCTGACTGGACTTTTAAACCCCAGGGGGCAAAGAGGCAGCACAGATGCCGACTTGATTGGGAAGGGGGAAGAGAAAATGTTACACTGACTGATGTAGCTGAAGAGGGCAACGGCGCAGAGGAGACAGGCACTGTTCTTTGGGGGCACAATATATAGGCCATGAGAGTGATGGGGCTGACTCTGCAGGTGTGGAGTGCCAGCTGATTGCAGGGGGAGTTGTCAGAGCAGGCCCTGTACTAAGCACAGAGTCCAGGCTCCCTTACATCCACATTAGAGTGCCTGGGTACTGACTGCTTGCGCTTGCTCTCTCCTCTCCTCTCTCCCATCCTCTTCCTCATCTCCTCAGGTAGCGATACTTTTTAACAATAGCAGTTCATTCATATACCTTGCAGCTGCTGGTGAGCAGTGAGGCACTCTTCTGAATGTTCCTGTAGCCTACCATATGAGGCTCTATGGCAGGGGATGAGAACGATGAGGGGCTTGTCTGGACTATGGGATGTGAACTGTAGAGAACTTTAACGTGTTGTGCTCTCACCACTCCATGTAGACCAGGGGTCTCAAACACACGGCCCGAGGAGTTATTTGCTGCAGCCCACCAAGCTCCCCACCCCCCTCTGGAGTTATTTCCTGCAGCCGCCAAGCTCCCCTCTCCCCTACTGTCCCTCCTCTGCCCCAGCATGCCGTGTCCCCGCTCCTCTGCCTACCTCCAGATGCCTCCCGCTGCCAAACAACTGTTTGGTGATGCTTAGCGCTTTTCAGGAGGGAGGAGCGGGGAGCCGCGCGCTCGGGGGAGGAGGCAGATAAGAGGCGGGGCAGGGGCAGGGATTTGGAGAAGGGGTTGGAATAGGGGCAGGGAGGGGGCGGAGTTGGGGTGGGGACATTGGGGAAGGGGTTGGAATGGGGGCGGGGAAGGGGTGGGAAGAGGCGGGGCAGGGGTGGGGCCTCATGGAAGGGGTGGAGTGGGGGCAGGGCCGGAGGGTTTTGTATCTTTATATGAAAATGTGTCAGTGATGCGGCCCTCAGGCCAATGTGCTAGTCCTCATGTGGCCCTCATGGTGATTTGAGTTTGAGACCCCTGATGTAGACCCCGTTGGCAAAAACAAATTGTGAATTAGTTCATATAGTTGTGGTCCTCTTTCAAAGAGGACAACAATAAAGTGAACCTGGTACTTTTTAGTTCCTGCCAGCAAGGTCTGCATGGGGCAGTAAAAGCACAACACAAAGTACTCTACAACTCATGCCCATGTAGACCGGACTGCAGCACCATGTAGACAAGTCCTAGATTTCCCTTCAAGGAGGAACTTCCCAGCCCTGCTGGGAAAGCAGACAAGGGGATAGTGTGGGTGTGTTAAGTATGTAAGTGCAAGTGTGTGTGCGCACATGATTTTATCATGGAGTTTTATGATATTTGGCACTCTCATTAAAGCCCCAGCTCCTAGAGTCAGGTGATTACATGAGAATGTCAGCTTGCTTGCTTTTTCAAGTTAGTTTCTAGCCCTCATGGTTGCAGAGAGAAGCTTGAAAACATGTCCCAAGTGTATCCTATAGGTTCACAAACCAGAAGAGACCTAAAGAACTCAAAATATTTTTTTTTAAATCTCATAATTTTTGGACAGCGGGGATTGGCCATATTGCTGTGTGCCTGTCTGCAATTAAGCAGGTTTCCAACATTTTCAGAAAAGACTAATACAAAAAGCTCAGTCATGGTGGCTGAGCTGCAACACACATTTATTTTAAGGGATTCAGCTCGCTTCCTTGCAGTTTACTGAGAAGTGTGTTTGCTAAAGGCACTCTGCAAGCTAGCAAAACATCCACTTGACTCCAGCAGAGGCAGCAGCTATGGGGTGAGGACCTTTTGCTTCATACCTGCCAGGCTACTAAGCCGCTTTTGCTGTTCTGTGGTAGAGAAGGAAAACAAAAACAAAACAAAGAGAGTGAGACATAGACAGCAAGTGTCCTGTTGCTGTGTTTCTGACAGGCAAGAAATGTGCCATCCACACAATGGCAGAAACTGCTGGAGTGGATCAAGTTTTCAACACCCTGCCAAAGTGGCAAACCCACCACCCTCCAAAGAGCAGCACTGGTGACTATTCAACATCTCAATGCAAAGTGACTCGTACATTTGCAAGAAGAAAGTATAGTTATGTCAGAGAGAAGGAAAACAGCTTAACAGAAGACAATTTAAAAACAATTGTGAAGACTTACTGTCAAATAAACCAACAAATAATGCTCAAGTTAACAGCATGTTAATAATATTACTATTAAGTAATAACACAGCCATTTTTCTGCATTTGTAGGGCCTTTGTGGCAAGGAATACCAAATGCTTTGTGATCATTAAGACCCACAATATCCTTACGAGTTGGTGGACTGAATGATTGTTCTTAATTTACATATGGATAAACTGAGGTACAGACTGGCGAAGAATTTCACAGGGCCACTCTTTTTAGAAGCCTCCAGTTCTAGGTTCTCAGCCTGAGACACCTGAGAGGTCTCATGTTGGCCACCCAACAACTGAGACATTCAAAGTCAGTGGAGGCTGTCAGACAAAGTCACATAATGAGTCTGTGACAGAACTGAGAATAGAAACCAAACTGTCCTGGCTCCCAAGCCCCTGCTCTAATGACAAGAGAACACTTTCTCCCTAACAAGGAACACACTTTATTTGAAGTATACAGGACCATTCAAATTGTATCATCTTACTAACAATATCAAACACTAATAATTTTAAAAGTTGATGTGGCGAATACAAGGATTTCAGAAGTTTAAAAAAATATTTCTCACTGGTTTCTGATTATGAAATAGTTTTAGATCTTGGAGACGAATGGCGCTCTTCAATGGAATGCCAATATCTTAGTCATGGCAATATGAGAAGGGCATGGTATGATCATTTCCTATTAGCAATAAGCCACTTCCTGCAATGCCTGTCAGGGAAATGATTACTTTGGGAGGATCACCATCCAAGCAAATCTGCAGTATGCAGTAATCCCTTGAACATACACTGCTTGCTCGGATAAACAGACTTCTTCAGGCATGACATGCAAGGTGGGGCTACTCACCATAGAGGAATCCCTGGTTTCTCTCACCCAAATGCATCTCCCTCTGCAGGGATCACTGGTGTTCTCAAGCAATCATGAGAAAACTCTGCAAGCCCTGCCTCCTAGCCCAACACATTCCCACCAACCCCAGTGGAAGGCTGTCCCGATGTGCCTTTGTGAATGTCACCAATACCCAGAAAAAACCCGGAAGCGCAAATGGAAAAGAGAAGGGCTTATGACAACAACGTGTCTGCCCTCAAGAAGGGAATGAGAACCCATCTGCTGCAAAGTTCCCTCTTCTGAATAGGGCATCAAGAGCAGAAGGGTAGATTCATCTGTGAGTTATAATCAAGGAAGTAGAGTTAGGTAATGGGGATCTTAGAGACAGCCATCGCATAGGGAGGCCCCCTACTGAGGAGATGACCCTTGCCTTTTGTAGGAGTGTGGGGCTGTCCCTCCCTGTCAATCTCAGAGGGAGGCCATGCCTCCTTGCTGTCACACCCTTAGAATGGTAATCTATCAAAGGGGGAAATTAGCAGTTTGTGAAGCTCGGGTCCTCTAAGCAGGGCTGAGCAGTAATCAGCCTCCGGGATTCAAGCCCTCCAGCAGGGTGGACCACCAAACAGAAAAGGGGGGCTCTGTCCCTCGGGCAGGGCTGAGCTGTACAGAGTCTAGGAGCCTAGGCCCTCAGGCAGGGCACCAAACAGAGTAGGGGGCTCTGACCTGTGGTCAAGGCAGAGCAGCAAAGGAGTCTATGAGTCCAGGTACTCAGCTCAGGGCAGGGCACCAAACAGTCAGGCATCCTGGCTCTGGCAGATGGCCAACAAACACAGGCCCCTTGGCCTTGAGTGTGGAGGCTGCCACCTCAAGAATGGGGTGGCAAGGGGTAGGGAGACACAAAACATGCAGACCTAGAATCAGGCTGAGACCCAATCAGACTGTTCTCAAGTTTCCCTGGACTACTTCCTATGTCCCCTTTGTTTGGTACCTCCGTTCTGTGGCTGTCCTCTGTCTCCCCAGGGTAGGTGTCCAGCGGTAGCCCCAACAGCTCCTTGGTGCCTTGATCAGCCGGCAGCTATGACAAATCCTCAATACCGTCAGGATCCTCTTCGGGTTACAGTAGCACACAGGATGCATCTATCTCCCTCAGCAGCTCCAGCCCAACTGTGCTGCCAGACCTGCCTTTTCTACTTCCTGTTCCTGTTCTGCCCTTCGGTTTCCAGCGGGCCGGGCCTGGCCGTCTGGACTCTGCCCACCAGGGGGTGGTTTGCAGTCCCTCCCTTTCAGTCTCAGAGGGAGGCCATGACTCCTTGCTACACCTTTGATAATCAGGAAGGTCTTCTGACATAACACCCCATAGATGGTTTAAGGAGGCTGCGTTTGAGAAATGTTTCCTTGTTTCCTCCCCAGAGATGGAATGTACATGGGGTGAATGGACTTTAACTGGAGAAAAGGGAGTTCCTAGGTGAAGAGGAGGTTTACTCCCTACTAGCTCTCCTCACTATTAAGCAGAGAGGAGGCCTGTGTATTGAGCGAGATAGAGAAGTCAGGAGGAAGAAGAGGAACGTGTTGTTTAGCTCTCTGCACTACTAGAGATAGATCAGAGACCCAGACACATACTAAATCATTGGTGCTTCCAAGCTTGGTCATGGTGTGGACCCTCAGCAAAGTCTGAGGAGCTTGCAGGCTGTCAGCGAACGGCTGAGTAGATGACGATGGCTTCAGGAAAGAATGGAAGAGGCATTTCCTTGTGTGACAAAGACACCTGAATTGTCCTGAGTGAGAAAAGGCTCAGTACAGATTTAAAAACAACCAAAGGGTTTGGCTCTTCTCTGTCAAGGGGAGAACTGTATGTGACACAACAAACTTGAACACACCAAGACAACCTGGACTGATAGCTGCTCATCTTGGAGCAGCTGAAAGGCCTCTAATCAAGCTGCACCTACAGCTATCCAAAGCTCGCATGGAGCCAGGCTGCTGTCAGAGCATTGGCAGAAGGAAAGAGGGCCTGCGTCTTCCTCCGCCCAGAGGAAACATGAATGTGCCATGTATAGTATTTAACTTCATCCAAGAGCTGAGCTGGGCTTCATAGCCTTCCAGTCTTTACAGCCCAGGTAGTCATGTCACATCCCACCGAGGCTAAGTTAAGAGCAATGCTTTCCATAAAGGGAGAAGGCTCCTGTTAATGGCTACTGACATGGGCTCCAGCTGGAGCAGGGAGTATCACTCCAATAGTTAGTGATGGGTTTATTTAATTGTGCTATATTTCCTAGCAGGTAAACTGCAATCAGTAGCTCTGGGGTCAAAGACTGAAACCAGCTTTAGAAAAGAATCGAATACAATTGCGGAGGAACACATCTGGGAGCACTTTCCATAAGGATGATAAAAAGCAGGGGAGAAATGGACCTTGCTTCTAATGGGTGAGCTTTGATTTCCTTGATAAAAGGAAAACGGTTAACATCCTAGGCTGGGATTTTCAAAGCAGGGTAAGTGAGTTAGGTGCCTAGATCTCACTGGAAATCAATACCTAGGCAATACAGATCCCGACTGGGGCTGGGATAACATCACCCACATGGAAAGTCAAGTAAGGGCAACATTTCTCTCATAGGATATGGAACCTACCCTGCAGAGGGAGCTATTGTAAAGGAGGGAAAGGGTTCGAATTGTAATTACAGATGGGTTTGAGCAAGGGCGGCTGTGGGATGATGTGATCTGGGGTTTTGATTTGTCCCATTACAGTTGCAAAGATCAATATCAAACTTCCCCAAAACTCTGGGGTCCAAGGCTTTTGTTTGGGTCTCTCACTAATTATATGTTGTACCACATCTGTGGCCATTACGGATGTCTCAACTATCAGTAAAAAGTGACAGAGTGTCCTGTGGCACCTTATAGACTAACAGACGTATTGGAGTATAAGCTTTGGTGGGTGAATATCTACTTCGTCACCCACGAAAGCTTATGTTCCAATACATCTGTTAGTTGATAAGGTGCCACAGGACTCTGTCGCTTTTTACAGATCCAGACTAACATGGCTATCCCTTTGACACTCAGCTATCAGTGTACAGCATGCCTCAGCCACTCACACCTACACAGTGACTGCAGCAGGGAGAAAACTCGGACACTTCTACTTCAAAAGTCCAGGCTCTGTCACCACTTACAGTATAGAGCCTAGGTCATCTACTCCAACAATTATGATTTCAGCCAGAAGGCAGCTGTACACACACATGCTCACCAGCTCATTACAATGAATTTCAATAGCTTGCTCCACTTGAATGAACCTGAGCCGCAAGTGGAGATACACCTGCATATCCCCTTACCTCTGTTGTGCTGCAAGAGGACAATGGTAGGGTTGACAATTGTGGTTGAGGGATAGGTGGAGGAAGGCTTGCTGATCGACGTTAAGGAGGATTGGTATTCAGTGCCAATGCGAGGCGGGGAGACTTCATTTAACACAGGACATGGTTCCTGGAAACGAGAAGAAGAGTCATTACCACTGCGCGTGAGCATCACTAGCACGTTGGTGTTTCTGGAAAAAGCCATTTTAAAATGGAATAAGAAAGGTACCGTAACACATCTTAGTAGAAGGCATAAGCACAGGTTGTTACCCTGACCCTGCAGGCATTCCGTTCCCTGTTAACTGCAGTTAGTATAATAAGGAATAACTATAGTTCTTTTGTACTGAGTTTCTCCCTCCACACCAGAAGAAGTGTCCTTGAATTCAACCATCATGCTATATAGAGCATACACTTGGTGACAGGAATGAGCTAATCTGGTCGTGAGAGAGAGAGACCCACACACTCACCCACTCTTTCTTTAAAGAGAATTCCTTTCCCAGCAAGACATGCAAAACTCATGCGATTCTGAGTGAAACCCGATTACTGCAGCTGGCTTTGCATGGAAGATCAGAAAAATAAGTTTAGCATCATTGCTTAGGAGACATTAGACAGTGTGATGCCCGGGCACACAGAACTATGGAAGAAAAAAAACAGCTGGAGGGTAACCAATAGGGCACTAGCATGGAAGGTACACAACACGGCTTCAGGGAGCAATGAGGATTGCCTAACCTGAGTTGCTCTATTATTTATTTTAATCAATCCTAGCATTACAGCAGCACCATCTGTGCTGCTGGAGCAAAGATTGGGTCTGCATGGAGATGTGAAATGCTACCTTTCAAACCAGGTGCATCAGAGGCACTCATTGCTGGGGAGGCTAGGGAGATGGGGCCGTTGGCCAAAAATGATACATGTATTTTTATGTGCTGATTTTGTCATTAAGGCAGAGCTTTTTCAAAGGTGTCAGAAGGATTTGGACCCCCAATTCCCACAGAAATTAATGGGAAATGGGCACCCAAAAAGCAAGAGTGTGAAGTAATGGAGTTCTGGATTTCTATGCTGCTCTGACTCCACGGTCAGAGTGAAATGCTGTAAGCCATTGGTCTGTGAAACGGAGCCGGCCCACAGGGCTAGTCATTCTTTAAAAAAGGGGACCAGAGATTCTTGCTCCATTGCTGCTGGCTTTGTTACTGTTCTGCAGTGCCTGATCCTGCATGCATGACTGAGCACAGCACTTTCGGCTGTGAGCAGTCCCACTGAGCTCAATGGTTGGAAGTGTCAGCAGGAAGTGTTTGTAGGATTAGGTAGTAACATGCCCCAAAGTGAGGCCTGGTGCCATAACAACCCATAGACCATTTCTGATCAGGGTATGCTATTAGCAGAACCACCAGCTACAATCAGCCTCACTCAATCAGAGAGGCAGCAGGGTTGAACTATTCAGCTCTCTTGGCACTCTTACACCATCAAGTATCTAATTAGGCCTGAAAAAAGAAGAACAGGAGTACTTGTGGCACCTTAGAGACTAACAAATTTATTAGAGCAT